CTTACTCCACCTTTCCCCCTGGATTGTTTTGATGACACACTCAACAACTGGGGAATATGTAATATCCAAATTAGGACAAGGAAAGGGGTACTAATCCCGAACCCTGACTCCATTATTGAATCCTCTTATGCCTTCAGTTTCCTCATCTGAAAAGGTGGTATAGCCCCAAAGTTGATGTGGCTGCAAGAAGCAGCTAAAAATAAACCAACAGAGAGTGTGGTGTATTGTCATATATTCTCTATGTATGCTTTCAGTGTTGTACTTTAAAGAGGCCTTAGAGCTAAACATTTCCTCTTGTTATTACCAAACAGACCATTGACCCAACAAAACAGCAGTGGAGACTGTCAGCCAGCTATGAAGTCCACAAACTTAGAGAGGTTCTACTACGAATGACTGGCCAAATGGAACCAGGGCTTTTACCCACGGACCTCTGGAATGCTACTGGGTCTACTTGGGTCATGACTCTGAAGGGGGCTGGGTGGTTGGGCACTCTTGGGCGTTGTTCTTTAGCTTCTTCACTTATTTGTAGGTCCTGCAGCCACTGGTCTGGGGATCTTTGCTCTTGTGTTGGTTGTCACTGGACCCACCCTCACACAGAGAGTCAGCAGAGAACTGTGGTGGTCAGCAGCTTCTGCTGCCTCTCACCCCTCTTCCCCAGTGATGCAGACTTGACCTTGGCAGCGTCCTGAGCCTCTAGAGCCCAGCAACTTGACCCTCCAGAGGCTCAGATTCTGTGTCCAAAAGCCCAATTTGGGGCAGCCATGGATTATTGTTTATTTTTCTTCTTTTAAAATGAAAGCTGTTTATTTCTTCACTCGTTCGCAATAAGACGTGGGGGGAAGGATCCAAAACAGAACAAACTCTTCTGCCTTATTAGCTGTTTATCAGAAAGACAAGCAACATTTGGCAATAATGGCCTCTCAAAGTTTGAAAACAGAGTCCAAGCTTAACTTTAAAGCCAAGAGCATTTTTGAAAAAGTCTAAAGATATAGTTTTCACTGTTGAGTACTGTTAACTGCTTTTCCTTTTAAATATTTGCACTTGATACTTTTGTATCGTGTTAAAAAACTTGTCTTAATGTTCCTTCAAAGTCCTATGAAAATGCTAAAAGACAACAAAAATGTAAACCTATGGGACTTCTGCTTCAGTGGTTTATTTGCTGTGGTATTTTATTAAATAAATATTTATTTAGATGAGCTTTTATTATTTATGTTTTAATCCCCACCCACACAGTCTTGGACATCAGAACTGCTTATTCCTTTTTGTTGATTTCATAGCAAATCTTGGGTAATATGGAGTTGTTAAGATCTGTATTGAAGACCACATGGTCATCGGTAGCATCTAGTTCCTTGCAGGCTGTGGGAAGGACTGAGACCCTCAGTCCCTCTCATACAACAGCTTGTACATGGCAGCTCTCTTCAAAGGTACCCAAGGGGAGAGTCTCTTAGCAAGATGGACCTTGTGCTCTTATTAGTATAATCATGTATGCATAATCACAGACATCCTGTCACTCTAGCCATATTCTGTGGGTTAGAACCAACCACACTCAAGAGGACGGGATCACACAAGGGCATGTACACCATAGGGTTAGTGTATTGAAGAAAGTAAAAGGGTGATAATGGGGAAGCCACCTTAGCCATGTTGATCAGGGATTTCTTCTCTCTGAACCAAAGAATGAGAGATTGCCACCACACCAAGAGCTGGGGAGGCAGGCATTTCCAGAAGAGGGCACAGTGATACGAAGGCCCAGAGACTGGAAGGAACTTAATGTGTTTAAGGAAAAGAAATTATCTCAGTATGGCTGGGCCAGGGTAAGTAGAGCAGAGACAGGTACCCATCATGCAGGGCTTCATAGGGTAAGAAATTTACACCAAAAAGCAAAGGGAAGACAATGAAGAATTTTACACTTTACATTAAGAAGAACATAATCACACTCAGATTTTTAAAACTCGCTCCATGGCCAATGGATTGGGAAGCCGAAGGTCTGGGAGGTCTGCAGAGGCCCAGGGCAGAGGGTGGTTGTGATACCCCATCAGGGTAGAGGTACTGGAGACCTTCCTCATTTGGAGAGCTAGCAGCTCTTGGTGACAGGTTGCCTGCAGGTAGGGAAGGAAGGCAGACACAAGGAGGCACCTAAGTTTTTAACTTGAGCCAGTGGGTAAATGATGACACTATTTTCTGAGATGGGGGTTGGGTAAATATTCAAAATATGCTTTGTTCATGGTAAATCATATGGGCTTTTTTGACATCAAGAGGATGTGTCAAGTAGACAGTTGGCATGGAGAGTAGGTCTGGGTTGGAAGTACAAGATTGGAGAGTATTTTCAGTGCTGGGAGATTTAACTAGCCTTCTTATGGAATGCTCTCCCTAGAGTAACCAAGAGATTGTTTTAAAGCTTATTTCTCATCACATAAACGTCTTGCTTCAAACTCTGCAGAATGCAAGGTGCTTTCCCACTGTACTTAGAATGCTCACTCCTTCCTCTCATGGATAAGGTCCATCACAAGCTGCCCCTGCTGGCTGCTCATTTTTCATATTCCATCAGCCTCTGGGTTTTAAAGGTAAAGCTAAGAGCTGAAATAACTCACCAATTCTGCCAAGAAATGTGGCATCTGAACCAAGGCTTTGCAGTTCAGGCCTGTGACCATTTCACTGCTTGAATCTTAAGGCCTTCACCAATCAAATGAAGTAAAATAGTATCCAGAACCCAGCACAGTACATGTCACAGAAAAGGCCCATAAGGAATAGTTGTCAAGGTGTGTAGTACACTAGCATTTAAAACTGAGTGAAACAGAAACATGGAATGGCCTGTTGTTAGACAAGCTTGGAGGTGCATTGTGATGCACTGGTTATTCAAAAGGTATCATTAGCCTTTTAGACACAGTTCAGTGTGTGGCTCACTTGGAAAGTTAATTAATCCCAAGAGCATGAAAACTGTGACCTTATAGTGAGAATGTTAACTTATCAGTATGTCTGGGTGTTTGTTTCTGTCTTATGTCAGGTACTGTGTTTTCGTAAGTGCTCTGCATGGCCAATACAAATTTCCAGTGAATCCTCAGTACCACCCATTTTAAAGATAAGGAAGCTGAAAGAGTAAGGGATTCAACTGCCTAAGGGCACTCAGAAAAAAGTCAGGAGGATGACTACAAAACCCACTCTCGCAACCACTGCGCTGTTTAATATTAACTCCCCACCTGCCTTTGAGGCCTCCTGGGATTTAGACCCATGTACTAACATACATGGTCTGTGACAGTACGTATAACTTCACTGCTGCATCCAGTAACTCTAGGGATTGCTGGTTTCATAAAATGGAATGCAGTTGGCTCCCCATAGAGTTGTGCCCATAGAAGTACTGTTCAGCCACCACCTCAGTGAGGCTTTTGTTGTCTCTTCCATGTAGAATGGGAGATTTAGTCCAGAAGTTGTGACACTCTGGGGAGGTGTGGGTTGTTACAAGTAGGTTGAAGATTACTCCAAGTACTTTCACTTACATTTTGCTGTGCTTTCTTAAGCAGGAAAGAAAAGGTTGAGGGGGAATTTGAGAGCAACCTGCATTCTCTTACATGTGCCACAGCACCCCTGAAACATGAACACACATACCCTGAATGATTAAACACTGGTGATTAGTAAGAGTTGTGACAATTATGGAAGTTCTTTCTTTGCCTTCCTAGGGGAAAGGAAAGTGGTAGGGATTGCAGCCAAGATGCCTCTTGGATATGTTGAGTGTTATCCCTTATGGGTGTGGTGGAGCATCCCCCTTCCAAACCTCCCATTCCCAAACATTTCCACCTTCCATGACCCAGCTCAAGGCTCATCCCTCAGTGAGGTCATGTCTCACTTACACACACTTTCTCTTCACCTACAGCACTTGCAGACCAGGCATGGTGAACAATTGACACCCTCTCTGTGTGTGGATTTCCTCAGTCTGTAATGAGAACATTGCCCAACATGAGTCACTGGGAGACTGAGGCAAGTGGTCTCCAAACTGTACACGTGCTACAAAACAGCAGAACAGTTACGCCCTTGCTTGACCAGATCGTCTCCTGTTTGCTCCCATCCCTTGTATTTGTCCTTCTTCCCACCTGTCTTGCACTCTCTCCCCTGCTCTGGGAATGGAAACAATGTCTGTATGTTTTATTTTGGGTAGCCCAGAACCTTATATATAGAAACTGCTGAACAGTATTTCCCATTCATTAGAAAGATGAAGAAGACTGAATATAGGGCAGCTCTCAGTCGGGGTGATTTTGCCCCACCTCACCCGGGACATTCAGCAGTATCTGGAGACATCTTTGGTTGTTATGATCGTGGTGTGTGTGTTTGGTGGGGAGTGCTGTTGGCATCTAGTGGTTCGAGGCTAGAGACGCTGTTCAACACCTGCAATGCACAGGACAGCCCACCACACAAGGAATTATCCAGCCCAAATGTTAATGTCAAGATTGAGAAACCCTGATCCAGAACTGTAATGAGAATTAAGAGCATTAGGCCAACCAACAGCAGAGCTAGACTAGGGTAAGGCTCTGCCTTGCCAATGGGTTTTGGCCCCAGGGAAATTCACTATGGATTCAGTGAGACCGAGGAATGACAATGGACGGTTCTTGGCGTGAAAGGGTTTATTACCCAGCTTGTTTTCCCAGTGATAGGTCGAACACTAGAATAATGTCTGCATCCAACAGTCTGCAGGTCTGTAACCCTCCTTCCTCTCTGCCTCTGCCCAGAGTACTGGGCACAGCCCTTCATATAGTTACTCAGTCAATAATGGCTAATTGCCTAGGGTGTGGAAGCAGTAGCCTAGCAGCAGGCCAGTTATATCACCAAGTAGTTTAGGTTCAGGTGGCCATAGGAACCTTCACTTTATCCACCGGCTGTGACTGACCAGGTCTGCACCAGAGCAGCCACTTACGCTAGTGACATCAGGAAGACACACACCATCACATCTGTGAAGTATTTCAGGTTCTCAAAGAGCTTTCACATGTGTTACCATTTTTGACCTTTCATAACAGTCCTGAGAGGCCATTCTGTTCTCATCTCCATGCCCTACTCAACAACTGGCAGAAGAGGAAACTGGGTAGACGGGTAAGTCATTGGCCTGGTTATTCTCAAAACTGAGTAGTGACAAGAACCCATCATCAGCCTGCCAGCTCAGGCACTGTTTGTTCATCTACACCCTGATTTTTTATTAAAGCAGAAGTGACAAGGAGGAGGCATGGGGAAGGGGGACTGCATGGCAATTGGGAATCAGAACCATCTAGGCTGGAAAGGAACTGGGACCCTCTGCTCTGACAGTAGATGTCGTTCAGCTTTCCAAAACTCTGGAGGAGCCTCAAGGCCCCATATACAGTCTCTAGTAATACGCCACCATTTAGGTGCTGGAGCTTCAAGCTCCATTTGAAAACCTTAGAGAAACAGCAGAGGGAAATGGGACAGAAACAGCAGAGGGAAATAGGACAGAACTATTTCCTCAAGAAAGTGTTTAATTTCTGAACCAGTAGAGGGCGCTCACATCCTGACAATCTGAAGCCGACTCAGCTAGGGCACATTACTGAGCTGCAAGAAGCATTAGACTTGAGTTTCTGAACAAGGGGGTTCTGTTAAAAGACACATTCTTGGTCTGTAGGTTTGGAACAGGACCTGAGTTTCTGCATTGCTTACCAGCTCCCTGGTGAAGCCTTCCATGGACCATGACTGGAGGAGCAAGGTAATGTATGCCCTTTTCAGTTCTCTCCTATAGATGGCACACCCGAGACCCAGAGAGGGGAAACTGCTTACCCACAGACACCCTGTAAGACTTCACTGCTGGGCTAGAACCCATGTCTCCTGCATCCAGTGCTTGCTTTATGACGTCTTCCCAGCCCCTCTGACTCAAGAACAAAATTAAGGGAGGAGGATGCATCTCTTAAGTATGGAAAAGTGACAAATCAAAAACTCTGTAGAGGCCGAGAGATGCCTAAAATAAGTTCACTGAGGCTTTACAGATGCAACCAGAAAAACGAATGAGTGCTGAGACAGGAAGTTTCTGCTTCACCAGCAGCAAGACCAGTTAACAGAAACAATTTGCCCACCGGGCTCAAGAAACAGGGCACATTTATAAGGAGTCTCTAGAAAAGAGAGTTATTTAAATTCACATTGGCTGCAGAGAAGAAAGGTGGGCTAACGCAACGCAGGGAAAGTCCAGGGATAGGTGGTTAGTCCACAGAGAAGGCTCGTGGATTGGTTGTTGATGATAGGTACTATTTTCATACGCAGGAGGGGTGTGGTGGTTCCGGGGACCTTCTAAGTGCTTGTTGAAAGGACTTCATTCAAGAGGGAGTGGTTTCTGGTTAGCTACTGGCCTGTAGCTACTGACTAATTACCTTTCCTTGTCTTTCTCCCTCATTCTCTGACCCTTATGTTACATAATTTTAGGACATCTCATAATGTTTCCTTATCAGAAGAGACTGTACTGTCTGCTTTGAATCAAGCTTCGTCATACTACATTTTTGGTCAAATCACTTCCCTCACAGAAGTACCAGTGAGAATTCAAAGATGAGTGGAACAAGACTGGTCTTCTTAGGCCTTGAGGGAGCCCAAGCAAATAAATTTGATTTTGTTTTGTCTTTAAGTGTATTTTTTAAACTGAAGTATAGTTGATATACAGTATTATATTGGTTTCAAGTATACAATACAGTGATTCAACAGTTACACACATTACTAAATCCCTACCCCAACTAGTGCAGTTCCTATCAACATAGAAAGATGTTACAGAACCATTGACAATATTCTCCATGCTGTACTTCCATTTATTAGCAAAAGGTATTCTTATTTTTGGTTCATACAAATTTGGTTGTGTTATATATAACTTGGTGTGTTCTTATAGATGCAAAAGTTTGTTCTAACCATAGATCCTTTAAGCTTGAATCATTTTGAATGCCTTTACCTACAGGAAACAAAATGCCTCCCTTAAAAAATAAGAACCCGTAACATCTCACTAAACATGAAATCCAAATGCAAGTGGTCCTGTAAAGGAGTGCAGAGAGCATTAAGAGTCAGGAAAAAGAACTAATAAAACTTAGCTAAACCTTAACAGCAGACCATTCCGGAATAGTAAGAGATTCAATGTCTAAACTTAGAGAGAGACCAGATCAAAGGAAGAGAGAGCGAGAGGCCTGCCAAGGGCTATTTGAATCCTAGTTTACTAAATCCCCGTGGTTTACAACCCTGATATCCACCCTGGCA